CTGTCCCCACAGACACTGCTTCACAACACCTCAGGCCTGAACTCCATGGAACTTCCCCCAAATTAGTATTCAGGGAGTTCCCTGATATAAAAATGGCCCACAATGAATCACTTCCTAAATCTGTGCTTGATGATAGGGACACAGTGCTAGGCGAGTTCTCCCACCACTGCCCTCATCTGCACCTTGATTTCAGGTTAGAAACTAAACATCAGCATCAGGAGGCTTATCACTTCCATTCAAATCCCACAATGCAGCAAATGCAAGGTAACAACAAATGACATCAGGGTCCCTAGCTTTGAGGACTTCAGCTCCAGATGGCTCTCTCGTAGAAGTCTCAGATTTCTTTAAGTTTCAGATTTCCTGAATCCCACAACTCAGTATTTTATCAGTATAAAAAGAGGACTTAATGTGACTATGTCCTTCATATCTCTTACTACTTCTTCCAGGTGTGAACACTAACTCCCCAGAGTTACAGGTTTCACATGGGCTAAAAAGTTAAACACATACACACACCAGCACATGCCCTGCGGAAAAGGCACAGAGGATTCATAGGGCAGTGAAACTGCCATGTATGATACTATAATGTTGGATGCCTGTCATTGTACATTTCTTCAAACCATTGAATGTACAACACCCAGAGTGAACCCTAATGTAAACTGTGGACTTTGGTCCAGTTGCTTGGGTTTCCTTAAAAAAAACAATTTAAGCCGGGCGCGGTGGCTCAAGCCTGTAATCTCAGCACTTTGGGAGGCCGAGGCGGGTGGATCACGAGGTCAGGAGATCGAGACCATCCTGGTCAACATGGTGAAACCCCGTCTCTACTAAAAGTACAAAAAATTAGCTGGGCATGGTGGCACGTGCCTGTAATCCCAGCTACTCAGGAGGCTGAGGCAGGAGAATTGCCTGAACCCAGGAGGCGGAGGTTGTGGTGAGCCGAGATCGCGCCATTGCACTCCAGCCTGGGTAACAAGAGAGAAACTCCGTCCCAAAAAAAAAAAAAAAAACAATTTAAGAAAAAAAATTTTTATTTAAAAAAGCTATGGATTTTGGGGAATGACACATTAGTGTAGGTTCTTCATTTGTAACAAATGCACCTCTCTAGTTAAGGATGTTGATAATGCAGTAGGCTGTGTACATGTAGAGAGAAGGGGAATATGGGGAATCCCTGTACATTCCTCTCAATTTTGCTGTGAATCTATAAATGCTTTTAAAAGTAAAGCATTAAAAAAAAAAAAAAAGCGCAGCAAAGCTACTCCTCAGCTCTGTTACAATACTTCATCAGAACCCAGGAATCAGAAACAGCAAAAAGTAGAGGTAAATTGGAAAAAAAAACAATGCAGAACATAAAATCCCCATACTCACGAAGTTCATATTATATATGTCATGTCAGACACTTAAAATGAAATGCCAAGAACTGTTAAATGAACAATATTCAAAGCAGTCTATATTTTCTTTCCTTCACATGTCACAGAAACAGAGGAATATCACTATACTAGCATTTCGTGATCAAAAGCGTATTAAAATATACCCTAGAGACTCACCATAAAAATGATTCCTGATTTTTTAAATAAAGAATGCCCAACATTAAAGATGTTATGGAAGGATGCTACCTGATTTAAGAAATATCTAATTGAATTTTAGAGAATTGAAATATAAAACAGAATGCACCTACAACATGGCACTTACATGCTAAACAATTTAACAGTTGAAACCCCTGCCAGATTAAAGGGAAATCAGTTTCAATATTCTATCATCTCTTTTTAAACTTGTTCAAACATTCAAGGATTCAAATATCAAAATGTTTTAAAATTAGATAGTGGAGTAGTACTCCGGGAGTTTGTAAGAGAACATTCCCAGCTCTGCCATACAATTTTTCAACTTTCTGACATATCATGTTAATATAATATCACTTAAAATTAATGCAAAATAAAAGATATCATTTTCATGTCACCAGGTATTACCTTTCCTTCCAATAAGATAATATTTATCCTGACACAGTAAGTCTCTTTCACTGCACACACTGTAATAAATACACTGCTTCGGATGGTATAGACTAGATATGACTGTCCCCAAGACAATGATTCTTTTTTACTCAACAAAATCAGTACAGTAAATAACTTTTCTTCCCATTGAGACAATCATAGTGCTTGAGGCTGCTCAAACACAAAAACAAAATGTCTCCAAAGAGTCAAGCTGAAAATCTAAGCCAAAGTTTCATTTAACAGGCTGTCAGTTTTTTGATGTGAAGCTAATGAATGCAGTGGCAAACAAATCCATCAAACCTAACATCAAAACAACTGCACTTCATCCCAACAAACGGAAAAATGAAATACAACCTGCAGGCCAGCGCTTTGATCCAGCCTAGCCGGGAAGCAGACCTGTGAGTGTCACGGCAGCAGCTACACAGAGTAACCACGGACTTCTATCACAGAAGGAAAGAAAGCTCCAGAAACAGAAAACAGTCATCTCAAATTTGCACAAATGTCTTATTTCAACTGCTAAAAGAGCTGTTACATATTTTTAAATCTCTATCAAAAAAAAAAATTGCATTTCACTGTTACACCAACATTCAAAGCCACAAAAATTCCTAAAACAAATAACTAGATTAGATGGTATGTTCCACTAATAATACAATTTTGCAAGTGAAGTTTTATTAAAAGTCCTTCTGTTCTTTCTGAAAGCTCCCTGAAGACAAATATATGTCTTTCTTTGTACACACATGCAGCACGGGACAAACTCACTGAGCACTCACAAAACCTGATCTCTGCCCATCAGCAGCAAATGAACATGCGGCTACCTGAAGCATCACTCTCAAGTTTTTTCAGTAATGATCTTGTCTTTGATTAGTAAAATGGAGGAAAATTGCACGACTGTCTTCTTAGGTCAGTGGGTCCTGCTAAACGCAAGGCCTTTTGTTCCGGAGCATCTTACAGGATTTGGCTATCCTAATTTTTGCATGTTAAGACAAGAGAACCGAATGATCCTCATTGAGGAAAACAGAAGCAAAGAGAGAAATGAGAAAAATGGTAAGGGTATTATAAGAGAATATTAGAAACAGGGATGGTTACACTAAGTAGCTACCAAGACTAAAAGGTGAATGTCCCTTCACTCCTTACTCCATTTTCCCCAGATGTTCTAAACGTAATCCACACACACACACAAAATGTCTGTTTGAGAGATGAGGCAGTTTGGATAGATACCATGAAAAAGGACCATCTGGACTGAAGGACTGAAAAAACAGAGAATATATCCACAGGGACAGAAATATCTCCCAAATACAATAATTCAGCTGAGAATATTCAATATCCAGGAATTTGCTAAAACTTGGAAGAAGTGTACCTGAGCTTTACACAAATAATGAAATTTCTCTTTTTTTTGAGACAGAGTCTCACTCTGTCGCCAGGCTGGAATGCAATGGCGTAATCTTGGCTCACTGCAACATTTGCCTCCAGGATTCAAGCGATTCTCCTGTCTCAGCCTCCCAAGTAGCTGAGATAACAGGCACAAGCCACCACACTCAGCTCTCTACTTCCACATGGAAATGTGGAAATGCAACTCCAATGTACATGGTTGTTTAGCTTCACCCCAAGGCAGGAATGTCCTATTTTGGACAATATCATGGACTGCCTCTGGGACCTGTATTAAACAATAATCGATATTTGTGGCGACTCTGAACAGCTATGATAGCTGACTTATGTCAGTGAGTAAAGGTGCAAACAATAAAATAACACACCTTGTTATAACCTCATGGCCAAGACACTGCTTCGAGGCAGATGCACACGTTACATTTCCGCAAAAGCAATGCAGTGGCTGGCCTGGGTAGACACGCTGAGTTTTCTATTTCTTACGAGGTTTTGTTAGAATGCATAGGATGTATAATGTGAAGTAGTACAGTTCTGTTCCTTTCTGAATTACTCACTGTAAACAGAAATTACTTAGAATAGAAAAAGTCTTCTAATACCAGGGGCTTTCTTTTATGTCCAGAATGTATTCAAATGAGTCCTGGGCTGCCAAAGGGCTACACTTTTAACATATTTTGCAATTTTCTAAATACACAGGTGAATTAAACTTCGTTTTCTTCCCTGAACATACTTCCATCTAAGTTCACCTAATGTCTCCAAATGTAAGTTTTATCAGTGTAGAATGAAGGATATTCAGTTGAGCCATGCAGGGGCCAAGACCACATAAGCTTTATTTATCATTTTCTGCTAAATCTATGTCAATTTTACATACTCTGTAAAACACACAGTTTCATTCAAAAGCTACCCTCTGCCAGCCTGCACCTTTCCCTTAAAAGCCATAGGAAAGGAAGCAAACCTAATGGAAACCACCATCACTTTGAAGATGTCTTCTATTTAACACCACAAGGGGAAAGTAATTAAATTTAATAGAAATTATTGCTTGTGAATGAAAATACACAGTATGTGAGCTAAATTAAATATACTGGGCAGGAGATGCAAAATTTTGTACCAAATTTAACATGAACGTGCAATTCCTATTAAAATGTGTTCTACATTATTACTTTCAAGATTTCATTTCTGCACTAAGGGCAGTTTTAATCATTTCTTCCTACCAAACTCCCTCCACCTCTTGCCACAATTTTATCAGACACTCCCTTCTGTAAATTGTTTTCTAAGCCATGAACTGATCTCGAACAGGGAGAGGTCTGAGTCTATCTAACACGGAGCCACTTGATGCCATTGGAAAACCTTACAAAACACCAACTAAAGGCCTCAAGACAGAAAACAAACACACATTGCATAAAATTACCTAATAGGGTAAACTGCTCCACATTAATCTCAAAACACACAAACTCAGCTAAAATTGGTAATACTGCCTATGTAAAATAAATGTATCTAGCCTGAAACGAATTGCTATGGTGAGAGGCACACAGCGCCAGTGAGGAAAAATAAGTAAATGCTGCACAGAATCTTAGGGTTCCTACTACAAAAACCAGAATACACCCTTAATTTATGCTTTATTTCTGAGGCATAGCTTACCAATTTGGCAACTTTTCCATAGTCGATCCATCTGACAGTAGCAAAATTCGTAGATTCTGCACAGTTAAAACCATGATTAAAACCAGCATGGTAGCCATATGGGAAAGTGATCATGAATTCTCCAGCCTCCTGAGTTATCTGCAAAGTAGGAAACATATAATATTTTGTAGTAATAAGACTTCCAAAATTATAAATATAATTAAAATATATTTCCCATTAAAGAAAAAAGAAAAAAATGTCATGATATCAGAGCAATAAAAAAGTTTCACAAGATTCTTTACTTAATCCTTTAATAGTGCTTTTTCAGGAAACGTTTAAAACACTTTCCTAAATAGGACGTGGGTTGCTGGCCCTTGAATTCAGTCAAACAATACATAATCAAAGCTATTACTTTTTTTTTTTTTTTTTTAAAAAGACAGAGTCTCGCTCTGTCTCCCAGCCTGGGTGGCGCAATCTCAGCTCACTGCAACCTCCGCCTCCCAGGTTCAAGTGATTTTCCTGCCTCATCCTCCTGAGTAGCTGGGACTACAGGCATGTGCAACCACACCCAGCTACTTTTTTGTATTTTTTTTTAGTAGAGATGGGGTTTCACCATGTTGGTCAGGCTGATCTTGAACTCCTGACCTCGTGATCCACTCGCCTCAGCCTCTCAAGTGCTAGGATTATAGGCGTGAGCTATTACATTTTAATTGAAGGTATCTTCAAGTTATTCAAGTAAATTTGTTCATATTAGCTATCAAGCGATATATTCTTATATTTTAATAACTTGCATTACTGGAATTACATATAAAAACAATCATATAGTAACTGACATTGTTAAAGCTACAGCAACAAAAACTTTGATAATGTATGCTGGGCAGGCTGTGTTATCAACTCTTATTGGTAAAGAGTTGGTGGTACTCATCAAATTACTCTAGCCTAGCACTTAGAAAACATTCAATTAAGTACAGTCCATTTCATAGTAAAACTTCTGTTCAAAGAATTATTCAACTATATTGTATGTTAGAGTGAGTCAGTGCATTTTTAAGTATAATTAAAATGCTTAAATAAGCCTTAGCCTTTTAAAAAACATTAAAAAATGTATTTATCCTGTTTCTACTTTTTAAAGACTTTTTTTTTTTACTATCACCAAAGCAACACAAAGTATCCCATGGTTCATATAAAAAGTAAAGAAAAATTTAGTGTTATTTCTTTTTTTAAAAAGTATCTGATATAAAATCATAAAATTTATTTGCTTACTCCTTCAAACGGAATAATCTTTGTTTTGCATTATCTGATCTTAAAATGTTTCTTTTTTTTTTCCTGATCTTAAAATGTTTCTAACCCAGCACATAATAGGGTACACCCCTTATACCTTTAAAATTCTTAAAGTTGAAGCAAAGTAATATAACACTACTCATAGGATTTGGGCACTGAAGCAATGTTTCTCCTAGAGATATTTTGCCAAAGTATTCAGCAAATGCTATATGTTCACATTCAGAGCCTCTATTCTCTGCTAGCTCTGATAATAAAAGTTGTAAAACCACACTTTTAATTATCCTACTGACCCTAATACAATTTATATTTTCTTTGAGATATAAGGTACATATAATAAAATGCTCAGATAATAAATGTACAGTTTGATCAGTTTTGACAAATGCATATACCCATATATCCCATGTCCCTATTATTTCATCACCCAAGAAAGTTCCTTCATCCCTGTTCTAGACCATCCCCAGCCCATCACTCTACTGATACCTTTTACCACTGATTAGCTTTGCCATGTTATGGATGCTAAAATGATATTGGGGAAAGGGGATAGTATTTTTTTACCCCAATAATTCTGAAATGTAACTCATAACACCATTGTCCCCTGCCAAGGAAACCCCAGTAGGTGTTCTGCTGCAATAAGCAACAGCTCAGCTGTCACCTGGCAGGAGAAAGAGGCTTACCAGTGCCCAGCATGGTTCTAGCTCTGTGCCATGGAGAACATAGCCAAATTCTCTCCTTTCCTGATCTCACTGAATCTAATTAATTATGTAGGTGCTTCTTTCTTATCCTATGTGACAAAACAAAACTCACCCTGCTCCCACATAAAGGTGAGAAGAGGGGAAGGACCACTGCCATTGGAATAAGATAACTACTTTTCCCACTCCATGGAATCCTGCCTAAAAACCTTCTCTACCCTACCTAGAAAACCCTGCTCATGCCATGATTTTAAAAAAAAAAAAAAAAAAAAAAAGGACGCTTGTTTCACGGAATGCAACTCTAAATTTTAGCTCCCTGTCATTTCCAGAAACAGCTCAGTCCCAATCTCATACCATAAAGAAAGCTAGAGAACAGAAGAGATATAATCAAAATGCAGACATTAGCTGTTTATTACACTTAGGTTTTTCATACACATGTATGAATATGGCAAACACAATGAAATAAGGAAAACATGAATTCCAACTGACACATCATTACCTATAGGAAGAGGGTTGAGTTGTTGAGGAAGAGTATGTTACTATGTAACATATGCCATGCAAAACTCTTTCTACAGATTATCTTTTTCTTCATAATAACCCTATTAAGTAGTCACTATTTTTATGCCCATTTTACAGTTGAGAAACTAAAGCTCAGAAAAATCATGTGACTGAATCAGAAATGAACTCAGGAGGTTTAATCCTGCAGCCTATGCTACCATTTTGCTGCTCTACCACATGTTATGTTATCATCACCAGGAAATGTGCTCCTTGAGGAATACAGTGTCATGACATGCCCTATATTGAAGTGGAATGGGGAAGTGACAGTACTTCATACGAGGAAATGCCACTGCCAATCAACCCTCAAAGTCACTGCTGTTTCACCATTTCAGGTCTTAAATTCATCCTGCCACTTTATACAGAAGCCATCCACAAAAGACCAGATGAGAGCCCTATGCATCCAGTGATCTACCAAGTAGTGCTGATTGAGAGCTACGGCCTAGAAAGAGGGTGCTGGGAACCTCCAGAAAAGAGCTCCAAGCTCCAAAGTCCTCCATCCTGGGGAAAGGGAGCCAATCGCACAGCCCTGCTGCTTCACCTAACCTCTCTTCATGTATCAGCCCTAAGCTACCACCAATACCTAACACCAGCCCTAAATGAACAGAGAAGGATTTTTTGTCTTGGGGACACTGTTGCACTACTTCACGTCTACCTTCTAATATCCCAACTTAGGTAAAAGTACCTAATGAAGCTAATGCCAACTACTTAAAAGAAGCCCTGGATGATGATGTACCTGCGACTCACAAAAGCCTGGTGCCCAGAGGTGTCTGGAGATGGGACAAAGCCCCACAAGCCCCACAGCCACAGTGGCCCCTCTGAGTGGCAAAGCCTGTGCCCTCTGTATCCAACAGTTCTGCAGCACAGCCCCAGTGCCTCCCTACACCCACAGGCATCCCCCATGCTGCACATCTTGAAGGCATGAGTTTTTCATGGTAAAAACGTGTGAGTAAAGCAGTCATGAGGGCACGCTCACAAAAGCAAACATATCTCATGCGTGACTGCTGCATAGACAGTTTGTGAGGGGGCAGGGAACCACCTCAAGCTGAAGAATGAATCCTGGCACTTGGAAAAGTTCTTCTTTGAACAAATCCCCCCCACCCCCAAAAACACACACAAAAAGAAGGCCACATTAAGAGCCTAAAATGAAGAAAATGTAAAGATTTAGTCACAAGCAAAAAGCTTCTAAGATGGAAAACAGCAAGGATTATGGGAAGAAAAGTCAAATAAAAAATACATTAGAAGGAAGAGCTATTTTTTAATGTTTCTGCAAGTAGCTAAGCATTTAATCCTCCTGAGACTGAGAGGGAGCTTTTATTTATCTGGTCAAAACCTTTTTTCATTTTAGCTGCTTCACATAAAAATGTTCAGGCTCTGCAATAATTCTGACCCAATAATCACCCATAGACACAAAGAATGTGGGATCCAGCATCTACTGAGTTTTATAGAACCTACTCTTCAGAAAAACTCGCAGAAGCAATATCAGATTATTAAATCATCAGGCAATTTTATCCATAATGAAATCTCAATTGTATTATGTCTAAATGTGTTTAGAAGCAAAGCAACATAGTGCTACCATAATCATTGATTCTAACCAACCTATTGCTAATAATTGCTCTGAATTTTTTAGAAAATAAATCACATATACATAAACTATATTACTCATAAAAAAGATTTTAATATAGAAGTGCTTCCTCTTATTTTGTAGAATGTACTACATTTTATTTTCAGTATAATTATAAGTGAACTACAGCAACATGAAATCTCTAGTAAATATATCTGAAATAAAATTAATTTCTAATTAGGATTTAGATAAATAATTGATATGCTATAACATGAATTTGAATTTCTCTACCCATATCATAAAAATTCTACTTTAAGTTAAAGATACATTACCTATGTTAAATTCATCTTAAATACAAATCCTACACACAAAAAATCAATTTGTGTAAGATGAATATTAATGTACCTTGTCAAAGGGAATACCGTATTTCTTCAATACTGATGGAGAAATCAATGTCATCTTGTGGCGAAGAAACGCATCACACCCTTGGGAGCTGCTTGGGAAAAAACCTAAAAAGAAACAATAAATGTAAGTGTTTATTGTAAGTGGCATTATGTCAATTAAAAGAAATTTTCAGATAGGTTTTTTAATGTATAAATTCTAGTGTTCTTACTGTTTGACTTATGTAAGCATAGACTTGTTCCAACAAAAAGCCCTGTACTAAAAATCAGAGTCAGAGTTAGAATTCTTAAAAATTGCAGGATTCATCACCAAAGGTTGATCTTTTTAAGAAACAGGTTTACCATAAGTTGTTTTCGTAACTTGTAAAATTACTAAACTTTAGGGATAAATTTCAATTCAAAACAAATGTGGATTCAACCTATTATCTGTTAAATGGAGAAAATATTTAGGGAAGTTAGGAAAGATAAATGTGTGGGATGCGGGATCTGAAGCCAAAAATACAGGAAAAAAAAGGAAAGATAGGTATCCATTTTAACAGAAGAATATTTTCAACTCCTATATTTCATCATTCCTGAAGCACTCGTCCCAATCCTTCACATACAGCAGATACAGAGTAGTTCCCCACCTTTCTTGGTTTCTTTCTGATCAATTTGAAACTAATTGCTACTAACCTCTTGAATGAACTTCCCAGCCATCACCCATCAAATGTCAGAGAACCTGCCTGAACAGCCTGAATGGGAGAAGTGTTTTGAGAAGGCTTTTAAATGAGGAAGTTAAACATACAGCAACCCTTTCATTCAACAGTATATTATGCATCAAGACAGAGTCAGTTTTCTCCATCACTGACTTCAATCCTGCAGTTCTGTCTGAGGCAGACTCTCATTAACTCAGTGATGCAAGCTGAAGGAAAATGAACATGCTTGATGTCCTGCTCCATACCTTCCTTACTCACAGGGAAGACAGCCATGCTGAAGGGATTGGAAAAGCAAAAAGACAAAGAGAGAACGAGAAACAAGAAAAAAAGAAAGACAATCATGGAGGAAGAACACAGAAGGAAGAGAGAAGGCACCAGGAAGGCACATGCAATGCGTATGAGTGACAGGATGAAGCAGAGATGCTGTCTGACTCCTCCATCGCCAAAATGAGAGGGGAAGCTGCTGGAAATGTGACATCTCACTCTGGCTCTCTATATGCAAATAACTAAAGAACGTGACCAATTTAGCTAGGTATGGTGACTCATGCCTGTAATCCAACCACTTTAGGAAGCCAAGGCAGAGGGATCACTTGAGGCCAGGAGTTTGGGACCAGCCTAAAATAGCAAAACCTTGTTTCTACTAAAAAATACAGGCTAGGTGTGGTGGTTCACGCCTGTCATCCCGAGACTTTGGGAGGCTGAGGTGGACAGATCATGAGGTCAGGAGTTCGAGACCAGCCTGGCCAACATGGTGAAACCCTGTCTCTACTACAAATACAAAAACATTAGCCAGGCATGCTAGTGCACACCTGTAGTCCCAGCTACTCAGGAAGCTGAGGCAGGAAAATCACTTTAACCTGGGAGGGAGAGGTTGCAGTGAGCTGAGATCACTCCACTGCACTCCAGCCTGGGTAACAGAGTAAGACTCCAGCTCAAAAAAAAAAAAAAGGACGGGGGGGTTGGCAGGCATGGTGGTGCGTGCCTGTAGTCCTAGCTGCTTGGGAGGTTGAGGCATGAGATTCACCTGAACCTAGGAGGTAGAGGTTGCAGTGAACTGAGATTGTATCACTGCACTCTATCCTGGGTAACAGGGAGAGACTCCATCTCAAAAAAAAAAAAAAAAGAAAAAGAAAGAAAGAAAGAAAAACATATGTTCAATAAAATATGAGAAACGTGAATTCTTCATAATATCAATAGTAATAAAAGGTATCGTTTTGCCACATATATCATGTAATAATGCAGCCCTCTGCTTGTGGTTAATATTCATAATATATAAACACAAAATAAAACACTGGTGAATGGAGGGAAGGTAACACAACTAATATAATGGCCATGTCCACACAACAAGATGACCTAAGTCCTACACACAGAGAAAGACACCACTGGACAGTCCCCAAATGCACAATCCATGGGAATGTTATCAACAATTCAAATGGATCTATCAAACTTCTCAAATCTTTAACTTTCTGCAATGCTAGATAAATTAAGTTTTAAATTACAATCAGTGAAGAAAGAAGAGTCTATTCCATTTTCTTTCTATATGGATTTGTAATCAGGACCTGAACAATGTGATGACTGGTCATAAGTTAATTTAAATTGGAAAACCACTGAAGGAAGGTAATTTGCAGTATATTAAGAACTTCACATTGGTTCAGAATTTATGTTTACAATATGCTATCAGAATCATATTTTACATAGTCCTGAAAAACACTTCATAAACAATACTTATGTACAAAGTGTCTTAAAATGAATTTCACCTCAAAATACCTGCAGGGGTACATGGTTTATGCTCACTCTCACTCCATACCATAGTCTATAAAACACAGTCGATTCCTTGCCATAATAAAATCAACTGCCTTTTTTAATTTATTTTTATTGTTTGGTCTTTTTTAAGATATCATACAGGATCAAACAAGCAAAGACGGTCTTTGGAATCATTTTTCCAATCCAAATAATAAGTTAGAGGGATGGAAGGCTAGGATAATAAAGAGCTTATATTCCAGAGACCCCAACAGAGCCCTGAAACCCTAAAAGACAATCCACAATAGCGTTTCCTAAGAACACCAAAGTACTACTGGGAGTTTTGCAACACAGAAAATTGTGTAGAATCCCATAAGCTCTCTCAAGGATCACATGCTATATCCATCCAAAGGATGTTTTATATTCACTATAAAGGTGAGCATGTGTGAAAAGCATTATTTTAAATGAAAAAAGGCAAAAACAAAAGTCTACATGTCATATGATTCCACTTATATGACACTCCTGAAAAGGTAAACAATAGGGACAGAAACTAGATTAGTGGGTGCCAGCAAAGGAGAGAGAGGTTGAATACAAAGAGGCATGAGGAAACTTTTTTGGGGTATTGGAAATATGATACATGTTGATAACAGTGGCTTATCACATGGTTTAATAATTACACCACTGTAGACATTTGTCAAAACTCAATGAGCTCTATTCTTAAAATAAGTGAATTTTACTGTAGATTTTACCGGAATAAAACTGACTCCCCCCCCCCCAAAAAAAAAATCATTAAATCTTATGAAATCATTTTTGAAATAGAGTGGATGTGTTCTAAAAATATGGAACAGGTGTGTTCTTTCCTCCTGATGAAAAGTTCTCCATTCTGTCAACTGGCTTATATTTTATAATATATTAGTCATTGCTAGCTAAGAAATTATTTTTAAATCCCAATCTTTTATGATTCAAATACAAACATATGCTATAAGCATTAAATCACCAAAAACTTCACCCTTGAGAAAAGATTTTAAGATCAAAGTTTAGTAATTTTTTTTTATGGGTACACAAACACTAATTTGGCAAAGATGATAATAGCTGTTAACTGTTTAGGAAAGAGGAGAGAAAGACAGAACAAAGGAGGGAGGAAGGGAAGAGAAATCAAACACACAGATCTATTTTCAAACTAGTAAAAATTTTGACTGATGATTTTTTTTGATAATTGAAAGGTGCCCAAGTATGCTTTGATGAAGTTTTATCATGGTTTTATATGACTGATATGAAGCTTGAAAAATATAGCAACCATATAAACAAAAGCTAAGGAAAAGAATACAACAAAAGGATAGAGAAAATTCATTCAGTGAAAAATGCTTTCAGAAACAGATGTACAGTAATTGATTTACACACGAAATTTCTTCGCAGGCTTATCTATGAGAAGAACCAATGACCTACACTGTGTGGGGAGAAACCTAGTAACATTTACCCACGTCTCTAACTTGAGAGGTTGACATGAGAGACACATACTACATTTGGCCTGTTGGTGCTTACTATCGTTCATGGAGTGATTACTCAGGACTGGACAGAAAATTATCACTTCCCAGGCCTCACTCTACCCTAACTGTTCCATAATCCATCAACATCTCTACTATCAGAGCTCTCCAGGAGAAGTGCCAGGAGAACTTCATACTGATCTTGGGATGGAGAAGAATGGCGCTTCTCCTAAACAAATTGCTTGTTTCATCTCCTAAATATGGTGTGCATTGTGTAATGGGCAAGTTTTTTCCATTTCAAGCTAGTTAGCAGAAAACTTAAGAGCTTAAATTTCCACCCAATTTAACTGGTATGTGTGTTATTATACACATGGCTTTTTTCTGCATTCCTGAGACCACTTTATTTCACCTCTCAGTTCCCACTCCCTTGAAATGCCACATGGACAACCTATACACAAGTCACCAAGGACTCCCCAAAAGCCAAGAACACTGGGACCAAACGGGTCATAGTCAAACTAATTAGGATTCTTCTGGCTCAGCCTCTGCCCAGCCCAATCTGCACCCGAAAATCATAGAAATCTTCATTTCCCCATAACTCCTCCCTACTAGTTGGCATTCATTTCCTGAATTCTTCCTCTCCATTCTCTGTTAAAAGAAGGGAACTATATGTCTTTCACTCACATATGAATTATGTTATCTGGGTGTATTTCGTGTATTATTGGCCAATGTCTAAAATCCTACTAGGAACATAGCTGGAATAAAATAATCTAGCAAACAGTGATATCACTGACATCAAATTATTAAGAAATTAAGTTTACCAACTGTTTATCTACTCTTAGTGAAACCCAGCTGATATACAAAAACAAACATACTCTAACCCACCACACATCAATCTCCATGCCTAAGGTATGAGTTAGGCATGAAGGCAGAGGATATATCACTGGTCTTTGCAATTTTTAGGGCTTACAAGGTGCCTTAAAATTGATTATTTATTATCAGGGGTATTTATAAGCCTTTCAAAACTAGACATTTTAATATAATATTTCAGACCATCAGCTAAATGAATGCTTAAGGGAATAATATTTACCATTTTGAAAGCTAATAAAAGTACATTTCCCTAATTCCAAGAAAGAGGTATGAGAGCAGGTTAATTTAGAATCTGTTCATAAAATTTAAATGACTTATTTATTGCTGCTCTTCTATTCTCTCCGACAGCAGTGGCTCATAGTCTCTTTTGGACCAAACCATCTCGGGGTATCTGATGATGGCGTTCCCAGAAATCTACATATGTGCCCAATTTTGTATATGATTTCAAAGAGTCCATAGAAGGACTGTCTGCATCCCACCCATAGGCCTTTATCTACCCCTGGCACAGGGATACCTGCAGATCGGGCTAAGACCTTTTCCTCCACAGGATTTCAATTAAGATTATTACTAGTCACTAAAAAAAATTCAACAATGTGTGTGCAAATACACACACATGCACACGCGCACACACACACACACACACACAAACACAAATGCTTAAAAGGATGAACTAAACTAATCCTTGATAACAATGTTTGTTCTATTCCCTTTTGCTGAATACTGCTTTTTCAATAAGGTAACAAAACCAAAACACTTGTTTCAAGCAAATACACAGTTCTAAAAGAATCGACTCACTTCCACTATACTGTTCTTTGAAACAAGTTTCCTCCTAATCATTCACACTTTCAAAATTGGCTGCATAAAATCCTAAATCACATATTTTGGCCAAGTAACCAAAATTTTCAAAGTAAATCCTTTTCAGTTTTTTAAAATAACAGCATTTTATTCCCAATAAAGGACAAATGGAATACTACTTTTCACAAAAATCTGTAGACTTTCTTGATTTACCTCAATCTGTATTTTGTTTAACTTAATATAACAGCAATGATATTATCTTTTTTCTAAAATAGGTGAGATTTAGACATTTTTTAAACAGAAAATCTTCCAACCCGTCATTCATGATTTAACATTATACCTCTCCTTCCCCTCCATATTTGCAATCCAATTGTATCAAATCAAAAATTAGAAAGAATGCAATGGCATTACAGATGAATATAACAAGTATAAAAATTCCAACAATTCACTTGAGATTTTTTATTACATTTATGTCTACATAGTATTGGGAAAAACCTGTATAAATGAGAAAGCAGCTGAAGGGCAAAATCAAACTCCTGGCTTTATTAGATGCAGGCCTAATGTCTTTAGGATAAAATATTTGTAGGTGCCACAGTCAATCAAGATTTCAATAGAAACTAAAGATGAAAGCATTCATGCATAAAAGGCAAGTGTGATAATTATGATGCGCAGACAAGATAATAGAAACTATCTGAGCCTACTTTTCATTTTATGTATCAAGTGTTGCTATGACCTAGACATTCTATAATGCTCCATCATTCACACTGCATTATTTTATCACTTTGATTATTTAGCAGAATTCAATTAATTTGGCTGGCATCTGGTCAACAGACACAAATCCTTCAGTATCCTGTAGGCTCTTTTCCCTGCTTTATGTCTCAAAATATTGCTGCAAAACAATTTTGAATAAACAGGCAATTGATTTCAAGTTCTTGTTCATCCTTCAAGTTCATTAACCTCTTACTGATTAAACAAATGGTAACCATTTTCTGGAATGTCATTTGACAGTTTACTTCAAAGCATTAGTAGTTTATATAGAAATTTTAGTGCATGATTCGATATTGTAAAGTTTCCATCGGCTTCATTTTAAAAGTTCTCTGGTGGTGAGACTAACAGAAAATGGTGAAATAATTTTATTACAGAGAAGGAGCTGGTTCAGTATATAGTGTTAACACAGAGTTCACTGCCTACGTGGTTATGGTTTATGATAATCATCTTATAAGCTCAGCTGTAATTTATTAGCCAGAGCCTATTCATGAAAATAGTTCCTAACAAAGTTCGAGATTACAATTATATCAATCATTGATCATTATTATGACAAAAATGTATATTTTTTAAAAGACGCTTTATAGTTATTAGCCTGCCAAAATTATAATAATGCTTCTTAAAATGTAATACTACAACTGTAGTATTCTGTAATGTAGGGGAAAGTAACTTTTAGGTGCCAGTAACAGTTTCTGTTCAAAACTGTCAAGGCAAGGAATGAGTTTTCTCAGTGTCCCCATTTCATTTCATATAAGGCAGGAACAAAATTCTTTTCCTAATAGAAGGCAAACCTAACACACCAGTGAAACTTAGATCTGCACAGGACTGAAAGAGCACTCCTTGCTGAGGATTCAATCCTGGATAAAGGTAAAAGGCCTTGCTCCTCAGTCCTCAGTTGTCACTCAAATGGAACTCCACTTTTCTCTGGAAATAAGTCATTACCAGCCTACACCTTGTTTCAGGATGGGTGGCTAGCAAAACAGAAGATAGGGATGGCAAGGGATGAATGTGACTCTACTTCCCAAATGTAAGATGCTGAGGGGAAGGCTGCCTGGCACATTGTTTTAAAAAAAAAAAAAAAAAGAGGAAGGAAGAAGGTGGCTGCTTGTGTTGGCACTGTCTGCACACACAAAAGCAGGCACAGGACCATCAACAGAAGTCCAGAAAAGTTCTTTATTCTGGCCCTCATGTAGAAGCAGCAAGCCATGAAAAATAAAAATTCAACCTGCAGTAAAGTAAGTTTAATTTTGCCAGTCCAAGAAGGTCCAAAATCACATGTGTATTGTTACTTATGGCCATTCACCTTCATACTTCCATAAGAGCACACTCCCAGTCCCAGTGGGCCACAGAAGAACTGAGTGTCAGCAGTAACACAACCCTTAGGGAAAACGGCAGGTCAACAGAAAAAGTGGTCATGAAACACCCACACCCTAAGATGCAGCAACAAAACTGTCTGAAAGAATGTAACTTAATTTAAAAAAACCTACTGGCACAATGATGTCAAATGCATTACATTAAAAACAATTTTTTTTAGAAACAACCAAAACAGATTAAGGGCAATCACTTGATGGAATAGTAAACACTCAACTAAAATAACCATGACGATTATGCAACAGGAAAAAAAATTGCAAACTAATGTGAAAAAATTTTAAATTGTTCAATTAAAAAACGTAAAAATCAATAACTTGCATAGGATAAAACCAACTGAGTGACAGTCTATATTATTAAAAAATACCTCAAAAACCAACAAAACAAAGAAACATATAAAACACAGAAAAGAAAAAAATAAAGAAAGGAAGTTTTACCTTGAGCTAGTCTTTCAAGTCGTTTTCCATGCTCTGGAGGTATAGCATACCTAAAATTTTAAACATAAATAAACATTTTAGGTTTATAATTTTTCAGCTAGTAGCCTAAGGACATCTATTCCTAAATAATGTCACAGGAAAGAAATTCAACATCAAATTCCACTTAGATGATCCAAGTAGAGACTAGAAAACCAATCACAGAGTCATATCCCTTAGACAATGGACAGAAGAAAAACATGTTTATAAATTAGCAATTTCAATCTCACAACTCACCATGCCAACCATATTTTACAAATTAGGGAACAAAGGCCCAAGGCAGGAAACCACACAGCAACAAGACAACTAGTCACAGCCTGGAGACCCTCTCCCAACTATTACAGCATTCCAGCACGGAAGTAATATGCTTCCATGCACCATCCTGACAACCCCAAAATCTTGCTCAAAATATGCTATTGTTCTTTTAATCAAATATCTCACTGTGTCAATAAAGCCCAAGGAGAAGAAATAACAATTCTGTTCTCTACATACAAGTCTACGTAGGTGTTTTTTTGGTTGTATGTTTTTTGTTTTGTGGTTGGTTGATTTTGGCTTTTGTTTTTAAGAAAATTTGGGTTGTTCTCTTTTTAAATTTTAAAATATTTCTATTGACAAGTAGAATAGAACATAAAATTATTACACCAACATTTGTGTTTCTACCAAATCTTACTAAGAACACTGTAATTTTCAAACAGACTTTAAGCAAAAGATTATCAGCCTTAAAAAAAAAGTTTTTATTTATTTCATAATTATGTGACTTTTAAAATTTTGATTACGGAAAAAGTTTTCACCCTTAAAGAGCAGAAATTCTCATTTCGAGCTCCTGGTGTTTCAAAGTCATGTTGAGGTCATTTTTACTGTGGACTTGCTAAAGGATTTTAAAACAACAATCTCATAATATCCTATACAAACACTAAATTGTATAGGCATTTAATGAGGATATTTATAGATATTGACAATAAATTTGAATGATCATTTCATGTTTTAGATATAAACTATATTTTTGAAGACCTCTATTTGCTGTACTTACTAGCTCAACATATATTTAGTACAAGTTACTTCTTATTAAAGCATCTTAACTAATTGTACTTAACACCACACTTGGTTTCATTTAATGCTACTGATAACATACGCAAAACTTAATTGGATCCGATGTAACTAGGCAATTCACTAAAAGAAAATTTAATCATGTATCCTGTTGCTTAAGGCACTGCTAATGAAATTATTCCAACTGAAATGGGAAGATAAAATTTTAGCATAACTAAATAACTATCACCCAATGTATATTTATGGCCACTTCTTTCCAGTTTTTAATTCCTGGTTTATACCACAAATATACCCAGAAAATGGGTGTGGGTATGGGTATGGGTGTGTGTATGTCCCTTCCAAACAAGAGGGTCAACCTTCCTCATCACACACACATACAGATACACACGTATATGTAATGCCTGCCAACAAAAGGTAGGATATGGATGGAGATATTTATATATGTAGATTCGTTTTTCTGAAAAATTGGTAAAGTTAAAGCTCCTCAATCTAAAGTTCAACCATCTGCTCAGAGAAAATGTACTAACCATATCTGCTAAAAGGAGGAAAAAGTAAGGCAAGATGGCTCTACCCCTATTCTGATCCTCAGTTCATTCCTTAGGATCTGAATCATACCAATTCAATCTCCTCATTCTTCTCCTCCTAGGTAGGTGTATTGGCCTATTATTTTCTACAAGTATTCCCAGGTTAAGCTATTCCTATCTTAGCCAAAGGATTTAATTAGTTCTACTTTTCTTCTTTTAGATTGAAAACAGCATCTCAGTTTCTTTTAAAATTCTATAAAGATCAAGTTCATTTTGAGATCATAAATAATTATTAATAAAATTCTTGTGGTTAACCAACCATTGCTATAGCTTAATAGCTTCAGAAATAATCAAAGAATGAAAACTTCCCTCCAATCACAGCCCTGTGTACAGGAAGACATGTATTATTTCCCAAGTGGAATTGAATCCTCAAACTGAAAGCCATACTGTGGTAATATCCAGTGAAACACAACTAGGAAAAAATGCTTTCAAGGAGAGGTCACTCTCCTTCCCTTAGTCATTATCTTGCTCAAAGTGAATCTACTCGTCTCCATGCTTATCTCTGTGAAATATTTTACATGCTTTTCTCTTCCGTTATCAACGCTATGATTTGTTACGTAGTATTTAAACAATGACGTAGCTGTACAATGTTTCATATAAAAATAACTTTAAAAGTTCCCGGAATGAGCCCAAAACCCTGCCCAAGGGTCTGACAGACAAAGGACAATCTGAAGATAAGTAATAATGCTAATAAAACTGGAATGCAATCATCAGATTCTTCTGTTTTTAATGTTTCAACATAATAAGGAACTAGGAAAGACTAATTTTAATTTTTTAGAAATTCATCTGAGAGTCAAATCATTGTTCTTGCCATGAACAATAAAATCAGAGCACTATCCCACTCAGCAGTCAAGAAGTAATATGCTTCCATGCACCAACCTGACAACCCCAAAATCTTGCTCAAAAGATACTACTGTTCTTTTAATCAATTATCTCACTGTGTCAATAAAGCCCAAGGAGATCAAAGAACAATTCTGTTCTCTACATACAAGTCACAGGGCTGGAAAGGCCTTTTCTAAGCCTTTTTTTTGTTTCCACACGATTACAGAGGCAGAAGCACTGACACCTCTAATTATCAGCAATAACTGGCACCTGGGAGAATGAGGGACAGCAGAAACACACATCCCTCAGGGATACAGTACCCACAGTACTCTGAAAAAAGCTTCCTAGGTGATTCTGACAGGGCAGTACATCGTGATGAATGAACGAAAGAATGGGGTGATTTCTAATTACCATATGTAAGAACCTTTGCTTGGTCCTGACTCCCCACAACCTCCCTGATGTCAGATGATGGATTTGTGTATGCCATGCTTTTTTATATTTTTCCTTCAGATTTTTTTTCCAGCAATGAATGGCCCAAGTCAGAATGCTAAATAAAGGCTTTACCTAACACTTTCAAACCTGCAGGCAATGTGTATAGGCTGACAGCCCATGCCTGTAAGAAGGCAGGCACATGGCTTTAGGGGCACTCAGTCACACTGCATTTGACTCACTGTCCTGTCTGCAATAGCACCCCTGCTAACCCTACATCACAACACTACCTTGATGGGCAACTGCAGCAATTTGAAGCCAAACACAATTCTAATCTGTTTCAAAGCATGCCATAGGAAGAGACAGGAAGAAAGAAAAGACAACAAAACACCAAGGTACATATGTTTTCACGTGTTTTCCAGCAATCAGCTTCATCCGTTAGAGGGGAACGCATATTCGACAGGAACTGGAAAGCACCATCTAAGAGACATTGCACAAGGCCACTTCCCACTGTCAGACCTTGTCTACCTCACAGAATACGGAACCTGTCGACTGAGTCATATTTAGGAGCTCATTATTAAACAATGGCTAAATTGCTTCTCAGCCTTTTGGCTAAGATCAAGTATAAACAATGGCTACGAGGCAATGAGCTGAGCATGACTTGCAATCCTCACATCCAATAAGCTTGAGAAAATGTTCAGAAAGTAGCAGTTCAGGCTGGGCGTGGTGGCTCACACCTGTAATCCCAGCACTTTGAGAGGCCAAGTTGGGGTGATCACCCAAGGACGAGAGTTCGAGATAAGCCTGATCAACATAGAGAAACCCCATCTCTATTAAAAATACAAAAAATTAGCTGGGCACGGTAGCTCATGCCTGTAATCCAAGCTTCTCAGGAGGCTGAGGCAGGAGAATCGCTTGAACCCGGGAGACAGAGGTTGTGGTGAGTCAAGATTGTGCCATTGCACTATATTCTTATATATTATATATAATTATATATTATGTTTATATATATTTATATATTTTATTATATATTATATATATTACATATTTTTATATATATAATATATATTTTATATGTATTTTTTCTATATGTTATATATATTTTATATATTTTTATATATATTTCTTTTATATATATTTATAAATATATATATATACATATGTATCTATCAGCTCAATAAATCATAACATCAAGGGTCAGACAAGCACATAAAAGGCTGATTACAATTTGAAAGATGCCAGGAAGGCACAGTACCTTTATGCAACCCATCAGAATACCCAAAACTCAACCCTCCAGCAGCCTGACAATTAGGCTCTATGTTCTCTTTCTCTCCTGCACAATCATAGGCCTGAGCAAATGCAGCGTACTCAAATCACTGGGTGGTTGTTTGAGTCATTTGGCCTACTGTCCCAAAGTTTTCCTTTAAAAAAGATGTGTTACTAGTAAGAATCACTTTAATACAATCTAATTCAATTTACGAGATAGTTGCTGAGCACCTGCCACACAGAAAGTACCGCAGGAAAAACTCAAGGCACTTTCCATGTAAGTAGCGGGGGTAGAGATACATATAGATATCACTAAGACCTATCAGAATGAAGCCCAGATTGTGGTGCATGGATCTCGGGAACATCAAGTTCCCAGGCTGATCTACTATCATGTGGCAGTTAGTGTGAACAAATAAGAAGAGGGCAAAAGAGAAGGGAAGACCTCTGATGCCTCAAAACACTCAAAGTTATCACCACTAGGGATGAGCTAAAATGCCTCAACTCTGGGACACTTATCTTACATCTGAAGTAAGTATCGTTACCTATTTACATTTCTAAGATTATTTCATAGTTCTAACTACCAGGTACCAGGACAAAATTAGTCATATTGTCCTAAACAGGAATAAGATACAGCAAAACACCCACTCCTCTTTCCAAGCTCAGCTCAAGCTCCCCCCTCCCCCTAGAACTCTCACTCCCTCTCTTGCCATATCAACAATCCCACATGCAGGCTTCCACCCTGGCACTAAGAATACATATGTATTCTGTCTCAAAAAAAAAGCTACAAAAGAGAGACAGGACTCTCTTGTTCAAGGCAAATGTAGCTGGTGACTTTAAACTACATTCAATGTTCACTTATCATTCTG